GCCTCCACAACCCTCAGCCAACAAGTCCTCAGCCTCCCTGCCTTTGGGGCTGACCTACCAATTGTGTGTAAAGCACAGGGATGAAGTTAAAGTAGGTTTCTTCCATGTGCCTCTAGATACTCTGGGCTAAAGGAAGTGCTTCCCTCAAAGGGCAACTTCTTGTGAGTGAAAACTAGAGATGTAGTTTGTACTTGCAGCAACCCCGTTCATCCACTTGTCTGTGATCCTGGAAATTTCCTGACTGTGGTTGGTCTTGTTTCCACCTATAGCAAAAGGAACTGGGACAAGATCATCTCTCCACAGTTCTTCACATTCAATGACATCTGAATACAATTGTCTTACTGACATTTTTCCCGGGTCTGAACACATAAGAAAATGTTTGGAGAATGTTACCGCTACCATTTCCACCACTCGGTCTACCCAGTGAACATTTAACACTTTTCCAACTAATCTGACCTGAAGAGGTCTGTGGGCCTTGGCATTGCATCACTTCCTCCTGAACAGGGATCCCTTCCCTGTGTTCTGTTTGTTTTCCGAGGCCAAAGAGTTTCTTCAACAAATGCAAAATTATATTTCCTCTGAGTGTTCCCTTTGTAATTCTCTTATTTGCAGATGTCCCCACATTTAAATACATTTATTTAAAATTATTCAGACATATTATACCCAATAGAGGAAGCATACAGGCATCAGCTTGTCAAGTCAAAACTTGAAATCCAAGTGTCCCTTCCCTGCACCAAAATTCAAAGTTAACAGCTCTGAAGAATTTTGTGTTAATTCCTCCAGAGATTTTTTGCATATATGATAAGAACATTTCATGTCAGTGATCTCTTGTTTTTCCTACACATCCCACAACATTTTCCATGATAAAGATGAAAATCATGCTTTATCTATTTTAATGGCAGCACAGTATGTCATTAAATATATAAAAAAGGATTTATTTAATTAAACTACTCATTTAACTTGGGTTATTTCCGATTGTCTTCCAATAACAATGATATGATGAATTTGGAAAAAGCTGTTTTTCCAAAGTTATGTAATTATTTCCCTGATTAATTCCGATAAATAACATATTGGATTAAAGGAAATCCAAACATAAATTTAAAACACACACACACAGACACACATATCCTCTTAATTTCCAAAAGTTTTGCACCAATTTATAGATTCATTGAGTTATTGTAATGTTTCTTTGTCCACATCCCTGCCATTAAGAGTCAATACAAATAAATGTCATATTTTTATAACCTGATGGTTGAAACTTTTCTGGCTTTCCTGAGGTATACTTCACAAATAAAAATTAGATTTATTTATCAAATACAATGTGATTTTTTAAATTAAATTCTTTTATTGGTACATTGTAGGTATACAACACAATTACATTTCTCATTGGGAATTGC